TGTGTCTTTTGAATTTTGAATTTATTTATAAAAAGAATTAAAGTAAAGGGCCAAATTCACAAATTAATTTTTGAGAATGCTTTTAAATTTACCTGTCACACAATGCATGTTTACCAGTAGACAGTCAGCATTTACCATTCACATAATACAAATTTACAACTACATCTGAAACAGATTTAACATTATTTACTACTTAAATAACACGAAATTACGGCTGGAATAATGCTAATTATTGTGATTACTGGCCCTTAGGCCTGATTCTTCCTTATTTATATACCATCTCCTAGCTCCCTGATACATGCTGCATATATGTTTTCCTCAGATCTATTATTTACTCTTCTAAATGTCATTTGTCTCATATTTGTACAGTCTCCGGGAGAAGAACCTACGAGCGATGCATTATCGCATGCAATAATCAAAACATTGCGGAAGGCATTCATATTTGTATCATTTTTATTTGAATACTCTGGGTTGTTGTTTCCATATAGGCACAAATACTACGTTCTCAACTTTCAATTAACACCTTTTGTGGCGCAGCATATATGAATTTTTATAATTAGTTTTTTTATTTTTGCTTTAATTTTTACAATGAAAAGAGTTTTTACTTACTTTCGCTTAAAAGAATTAATAAGTCGAAATGACCTAAAAATGATAACGAAGGAAATAACATGTCAATGCTTCTTCCAATTCAATGAATAAAATTTTCAAAGACGGCTTTAATATTCTTTTTTTTTTCTTTGTGGAAATTAGAAAGAAGGACTTATAGCCAGTAATATTTATTGAAGATGAATTATAATAATTGTAATTATTTAAAAGGATCAAATGTCAAAATAAAAATTTTAAAATACTAAATTGCCTCAATTTTTAAAAAAAAACTAATTAACCTTTTCCAACCAAGGTTATATCCATATCATCAATATATAATTTAATTATTAATAATGGCATCTATTCATTTATATCATTAAGTTTTTTTGCCCAATTGATATTATCTAGATTTATGTTAATTAATTAAACTCTATTCAATATAACATAAGTAAACTTAAAAACATAAGAAATTTTATTAAAGATGTTAAAAAAAATCATTGCTCTCCGTAAAAAATTTATATTTATATTTAAGTTTTTTGGTCCTTTTAAATAATTGCAGTTTTAATACTTGCTAATAAATATTATTCTCTCTAGGTCTTTCTCTACAATTTTCCCTTTTTTTTTTATTCAGCAGTCTTAGAAAATTGAGTTTAGAATATAAATATTATTAGAAAATTTTATCCACAGAAATATTGATGACGTGACCATTTATGTGTTTGGAAATCTTGTGACCAAACCATATATAGAATGGTCTTGTTTCTCCAATTTTACAAAAGGTATGTTTCCAAAACTTTGTAAAACGGTGACGGTAATGGAATTTCCCAATCCGCTAATGTTAACGAAAGTACTTGCAGAGTCTCCCACTTGGCTGTTTCTATTGATGAGCTTCAGTAACTGCACACATTTTTAAGAAGGTTTTGCGGGGGAAAAAAAACAGAGAGAACCGAATGATCAAATGTAATTATGAATACTCAGGTTAGAAATATCTTTTAAAATTCTATCTCATTACCTGCCAAAATCTAATTTTGAGTGACAGGTATGACTTGTCATAGGTGTTAAAAGATCTGTCTAAGCTGGGCATATATAGCTGGTAAAAAAAAAACAAAGAAAGCTGGGCATATATAATCTTGACTTGCAGGTCAACCAAAAATACCCAACAATTTAAAAGAAGTATCCTTTGGTCTACCCCAGCTTAAAGGACCTATTGCACATCCAAATCAAGCCAAATTAGTTTTGGATTAGCTTTAACCCGATGTCAAGAAAACAAATTTAAGAAAATTTATTTCATAATTACAATTCATCCAACAAGAATTATCAAGAAAAATGAGGAACACGGATTATTAAGAAACAAAAATAAATGGATACACTTTACCAAAAGAAAAAAGAAATAAATGGATACTGTCCTTTGATCTCCCTAATTTCTTTCCCTCAGCCTCCAAGTAAACCAAGTGTAGTGCATTTCACTAAGCTACAAATTATCAACTATCAAGACACCCCATTGACGATTGTGTTTCATGGTACGTACTTTGGGGCCTAGGAAAATGGAAAAGTGACAACAATTGGTTTTCTTTGCCCTTAGTTTTGGGCTTTTTTTCCAGACAAAAACTGTGATATTAAAATTGTTTCCTTTAAAAGTTTTATGCAAAATAAAAGTTATTTTGACTTTGGCTAAAGTTGCTTTCTTGCTCTGGTTTAGGGCTAATTAGTGGTTGTTGAATTACTCATTAATTAATTAATTAATTAATAAGATTAGATATGTTGTGATCCTCCAATTACTTTTGTTTGTGCTTTAGTTTACAAGCCTGGATCAACCCATGTTAGCGCCTAAATAAAATATACTAGCCACTTCCTTTTGTCTAAGATATAGCTTAATCGCAGTAGGGCTAATAATGACAAACATTATGATAATTATCACTTTTTGCCTCCACTATAAAAATACTTGCGATTATTAACGGATTTTTGCACTAGAATTACTAACGGATTAATGACAAAATTATAATTTTGTGACAAAAACTAGTAACAAAATCACTAAAAAATTAGTGATAGAATTGAATTATGTGACTAATTTCTCAGTAATTTAGCGATGTAATTTCTGTTGATAATATATGAAATTAGTGACAGAACAGTTTTTTGGTTATTAATTCTACAGGTAATAAACTTTTTTTTAATTTTTTATAGTGCTTTTCTTGCTGGGTGATTTCATTCCATTAAGTGAAGTGAAGGGTGACAAAAAAATGCATAAAATAAAGGTTTCCGAGGGGAACAGGGAATCTAGCCCAGGGAATTCACACCCGTGGTGTTACTTAATATTCTAATCCTATAGGGCTAGAGGAGGACGATCATTATAGCTACACCGCGTATTTCTTTGACTTTTTACTGCTTTTAGGCATATTTGCGTTTGGTTTGATTTTTTTAAACGTGATTTTAAAATATTTTGGGTTTGGATATGCTCAAAAATAATTCCTATTAAAAATTATTTTCAAAGTAATTAAAAATTTCAAGAATAACTTTTCATAATATCACCTGTGTGGTCCCCTAAAGATTTCAAGAAAGATCCATGTAAATGGCATTCACAACATGACGTAAGCTACGACAATTAGCGAGTAACTCTGCAATTTTTTTTGTGGGTTTTTTCTTGAAAAAATCCTAAAAAAAAAGTCTTGGAATATAGGAAATTTTTTATTGGGTCCTATAATTGTGTAAATGACAAAAAGGGTTAATGACTCAATCTGTCATTTGTAAAATAGAAAAAATTGACAATTTTGCCCTGACTAAACAAAAGTGAGTAGTTATTCTCTAAACGAATCTAGATAACGCTTATACTGTTCTAGTGATTACATGATTAGTTGTAATTAATAACAAGGTACCTTCTCATGAGGCGTTCCTGACTATGAAAAAATAAGTAGTTATTCTCTAAACGAATCTAGATAACGTTTACATTGTTCTAGTGATTACATAATTAGTTGTAGTTAATAACAAGGCCCCTTCTCACGAGGCATTCCTGACTATGAAAAATGAATTGTTATTCTCTACACGAATCTAGGTAATGTCTAAACTTTTATAGTGATTTCTTAAATTATTATAGTGAATAAATAAAAATGAGGATAAAATTGTCAATTCTTTTTTATTTTATAAACGACAAATTGGGTCACTGACCCTTTCTGTCATTTACGCAATTTCAAGACCCAATCAAGGATTCATCATATTCCAAGAGCTTTTTTTGAAATTTTCCTTTTTTATTTGTATATGTCATTTAAATTTAAATTTGTAAAGGGTATATATTTCCGTTGGTCTCGCGTTCTCGAGGTCGCCGAGATCCCTCTCGCAGGACAAGTCTCTTGTTTTGTTTATTTTTTTAAGGGGGAAAAAAAAAGAAAAATTCTGATTTGGAGGTTGACTTATAGCCGAGTTGGACCCCTTTGTACCACATCAGATTTGTCATTGACGGTAAGAACTAAAATTTGGAGCAGAGTCATGTCAACGTTAAAATACCAAATTATCGTCAAGTTAAAATTTGAACGAGTAAAAAAAAATAAATTTCTACCGAATTATTTTTTTTCCAAATAAAAAATGTCTTTTAAGTTTTCTTAGTATAATATCTTTAATAAGAAATGCCAACATTAGAAATATTAAATATTGATAAAATATTTTTAAATAATGACATATTAAACTTATTTTTTGAAAAAGAATAATGATTCACACAAAAAATCATCGCTTGAGACTCTGAGTCTAACAATATTAGTGTTAACTATATGACTACAAAGATACCTTATAAAATGAACCAAACAAATTGAAAAATGATATAACAAAAAGTTGATTAATCTCCCAGATAAACTAATGCAAAATAAAAATTCCGAAATTCTGAAGGGGGAAAAAAAGAAAAAGAAAAAGAAAATCATAAGATTGCTTTTTTTTTTTTTTTATTTATAATTTTCACTTTTACATCTGGTCTAAAGGCGCCTGGAAAGAGGGACAAGGTGTCCCTAAACGCGTAATAACAATCAAGCGTCGGCAGGCATGATTTTTTTGACCTTTTGATTTCATATGCTGAAGTTAAAGTTCACTTTGAGAGAAAAGGAGAGGAGAAGAAAACGAAAGAGCACTATCATATCCAAACCGAACGCTTGAGAAGTTCATGAAAAGAGGGGTGATTTGATTGCGGCTGAGTTCTGTTCATCTCTCTAGCCCAGAATAATCAGCTGAACCATATTGTGCAGGCTTCATTATCTGGTATCAACATCAAATTAAAACCTCTTCTTCTCCGCCTCTTTATAGTCTTTCATTTTCTCATCAGTTTTGTCTTCTGTTTCTTATACTTGATTAAGGCTCTATATCTCCCAACTTGCGACTTCCAACTTATTTGACGATTCAATCTGGTCAGGCTCTATATCTCCCAACAGGCTCTATCATATCCAAACCGAACGCTTGAGAAGTTCATGAAAAGAGGGGTGATTTGATTGCGGCTGAGTTCTGTTCATCTCTCTAGCCCAGAATAATCAGCTGAACCATATTGTGCAGGCTTCATTATCTGGTATCAACATCAAATTAAAACCTCTTCTTCTCCGCCTCTTTATAGTCTTTCATTTTCTCATCAGTTTTGTCTTCTGTTTCTTATACTTGATTAAGGCTCTATATCTCCCAACTTGCGACTTCCAACTTATTTGACGATTCAATCTGGTCATGGCAGCGCAATTCTGTTCTTCTCCCTCTTGAAAATCTACAAGCCAATACTGAAAGTGTAAGTTCATTACCGGTACCAAGCAATATCCCTATTCTGATTCAGATTCAGATTCATCTCATTTTCCCCCCACCTTAATTATTCTTTCACACATGTTTAGTTTCTTTTACCATTGTTCTATTTGCTTTTCCATGCATAAGAATCTGTGTTTTTTTTGTATATATGTATATATATCTCAATTCCCTACGCATGATATGAGTAACTTGTTAGTTGCTAATAATTGCTGCTAAGTGGGTGCTTTTTGATATGTGAAAGGGAAAATATGTAGCTGAAAGTCTCAAAAATAATACTGGCACATGATATATCACAGGTGTTTAACTCCTCACAAGCTTTTATTTTTGGTTTTTTAAATTTTAAAAAATGTCGTTTTTGGTTATCTAACACTTTTTTTGGGTCAAAATTAGTTATCCTTTTTTTTGGTAAAAGTTAAAATTAGTTATCTAATAATAACATTATTAAAACAAATAACAACATTGAAATTTTACAAATAGACAAATTATTCTCAGATGCTGACATATTGAGTTTAAATTATTAAAATAATAATTAATGAGACATAAAATCATCATTATATTATTGATACTAACAGTATTATGGCAAGATGAGTAAGAAAACACTTATAAAATGAATGGACCAAGTTGCAATTTTAAGTAAAATTATATGACATGGGATCCCGGCACTGTATAAATCAAATAGATGCCACTGCAACTGGGAATATATCTTTTTTTTTTTGGCCTGTAACTATTGATATATAAACATTCGTATTCTATCAAAAAAAGATACATAAACATTCGTATATCAGTAAAGAGTTTGTTCAGTATGCTTAAAATTTACTACAGTCCGTAATATAAGACCTAGTTGATTAATTTAAAAACATTTGAAAAATTATTAAATTACTTAATTATAAAATATGTTAAAACATGAAATTTACCTTTCGGTTGCTGTTATGTATATGAGGATGAAGCAGTAAAGCATCTCTGCTACAAATCAATAAAATTTTGATTTTGAAACTGGACGTATCTGGGTTGAAGGTGAAACGGTGCAGTGTGAGAACAAGATATATTATTAATTAATCAGTTCAGTCAATGAATTAATTAATGCCTGAATATTAAGTTTTATAAAAATTTATCCTCAAAATACATAACAATTTAAACTGTGTTTCTCTACAACGACACTTTTTTTTAAAATATTTTTATTTGTTTGGACTAAATATTTTATATTTCTATTAAAATCACACATTTTTATTCTAATATTGATTTGCACAAACTGTTTTGAAAATTTAAAGTAGGGAGAATTGTTATAGAATGTCAAGTAATGAACATAATTACTAAAAAATTCAAATAATAATAGAAGAATCTTCAATAACAAGTTTCATAGTAGGAAATAATAACTGCTCACTTATCATTAAAATTTACCAGTAATTATTTTATTTTTTTGGAACCTCATTTTACTTAATTCTCCCTTTAAATTACATATGCACACGGGGGATTTTTTTTATGGACAATACTTATGTTAAGTTTCTTATATTTATTATGTCAAATTTTTTAATCATACATGATCATGTGATATAATTTTAAAATATTATCATTTAATTATAAACTCGTGCAAAAATATAACACTTGGCCATGGAGGATTGACCTTGAAATAAATGAATATAAGAAACTTGATATTTTCCTTTTTTTATACTGAAGATGAAAAACAATTCTATCACGAAAAATATTCACAACTTCTTAAAATAGAATGTATATTTGTACAATTTTAATAAAAATATTTTAAAAACGTAAACCAAAAAGTAGTTTAATGTCTTAATTTTAAAGTATGAATATAAAGCATAAAAGTATTTACAAAATGAATCATGTAATTAAAATGAATGATCCTTTTTTCTTGTTCCTTAATTGTTTCTTTTAGTCTGTCGGCAACAAACTAAATTAGTAGTATTGCTGGAGCAGTTTTCATCGTCATTTATTGACAATTGATCTCTTCTTGAGTTGGTCAAGAAATCCCTTTTTTCCCCTTTTTTAATTAAAAACAAAAACAGAAGGAGAGATGGATAGTGTGTAATTATTTTACTACTCTATGCTATATATCTTTCTGTATCGGTTGCCTTTATTGAAAGGATCATATGTAATTATCCTCTTTCACATATTTTTTCTTCTTTTACATTTTTTATTTTTAAGCGTTCTCTTCTTCTTTCAAAAAAATAGAAAGATAACAACTTTAATTTTCATCTTTTCTGTACGCCTCATTATCATAATTAAATTCATACATTTTTTTAAAAAACTAAAATTATTTTAAAAAATACAATAGAGAGAAATAAGACAATATATATACATAGAATTTTATCTTTTATACTGCTAATTTGATTGATCAATAATTCTCTATTTTATCTTCCTTTCAATGTATTATTTTATAAGTCCAAACCAACCGATAACAAAATAGTAGCGACTTGTCCCCCCCCCCCCAAAAGAAAAGGCAACTTCTACTGCATGGTTCTTTATTTCATTTATTTAATTTAGTCATTTATCAAATTGCAACCGTCACTAGCACTACATTCAATCCAAAATTTCCTGTTTGTTCCTTGGAAAGTCTTAGGAAAAGCAAAAATCACAAGTCCCAGTGATATTTATTAACCGGAACTCACGATTTCTTCAACTTTTTCAATTTTAAATTCATATTTTGGGTTCCATTGGAATTAAAAATTTATCTAATCGAATTATCGACTTTAAATTTAAGGCTATTTTTATTTGAAAAAACAAGAAAATAAAGGAAAAAGAAAGAGCACTGTCATTTCCAACCGAGTTTACTATGAAAAGTGTGGTGATTGCAGTGGAATTCTGTTCAGCTCGCTCTTTAAACTTTGCTAGCCAACAATCACCAACTGAATTGTGGAAGCTCCTCTGGTATGAAAATCAAAACCTCTTTTCTTTGCCTCTTCAATTTAGTCTTTCATTTTCTGATCAGTGTTTTCCATTGGTTTCATGAGGGTCTAACCGCGATCACGCTCTCAAAGTATGAGTGGCTTGTTGATAGTTATGCTAGGAATTTGTTACTTACAAATCACATGTGTTACTTTTTTCCTTTCAACTTCGCACTGACAGAAAGTACGATCTAAAATATAGTAAATTTAGTTACTCTAGTGTCCGAAAATAAATAGCTGGGAAAAATTTTAGATCTCATAGCAAGAACGATTAAGTATGTAAGAGGCTTCCTATTCTACATCATGAAATTTACCTTTCAGGAATTGTCGGTACATATTGGAATGGATGACGCAGGAATATCAGCAGCAGCAAAGCTTGCTGAATATTTGGTGGATCCTACTTTGCACCAATTGCAATATTTGTTTTGTGTTGGCAAAATCACCAGAAATGTTGAGACCAAAAAGGAGGAATTGATACTGAAGCAAGGGAGGGTGCAAGAACTTGTTGAAGAAGCCATTAAGAGGACTGAGAGGATCGATGATGAGGTTAACAAGTGGATGAATGAGGTGGTAAGCCTCATAGCAGAGGTGGAGAGCTCGGTGCAAGAACTAAAGGCCAACAATAACTGCTTCCAACGGTGGTGTCCTACTTGGAGGAGATATCATCTCTGCAAAGTGTTGGTGAAGACAGCCCAGCAGATGACAGAGTTGAATGCAAAGAGTGATCAGCTTGAGCCATTTTCTCATCATGTTATTGTTCCAGATATAGAGTATCACTCTTCTAAGGATTTTATGGTCTTCAGATCAACAGAAATGGCATATGATGAGCTTTGGGAGGCACTGCAAGATAGTGATAGCTTTATTATTGGGTTGTGGGGCATGGGCGGTTCAGGCAAAACCACCTTGGTCAAGGAAGTGGGAAAGAAATCCAAAGAATCAAAGCTGTTTGATCGAGTTATAATCACAACAATTTCCCAAACTCCAAATATAAGGAAGAGCCAAGGTGAAATTGCAGACTTATTGGGACTCGAGTTGAGGGAAGAAAGTGAAGCAGGAAGGGCAAGAAGAATTGCAATGAAATTACAAAGTCCAAAGGAACAAATTCTAATTATATTGGATGACGTGTGGTCTATGCTAAACCTTGAGGACATAGGGAATCCCTTTAGGAATGAAGGTCCAAGAAACTGCAAAGTTCTTTTTACCACGCGTCGCAAGGAGGTATGTACTTTGATGGATTGCCAAAAAACTATTTCATTGGGTCTGCTAACAAAAGATGAAGCTTGGGATCTATTTCAAACTCATGCTAAAGTAGATGATGGTGCAATAGAAGTGGCTCAAGAAGTTGCCATGGAATGTAAGGGGCTACCCATTGCAATTGTGGCTATGGGGAAGTGTTTAAAAGGAAAAGGACTTGATGAGATAAATGTAGTATTGCATAGGTTGAGACATTCAAAGCCAGTTGTTGTGGATGAAGGAGGGAGTGATGCTTATGCTTGTCTCAAGTTAAGCTATAATTATTTGAAAACTGTAGAAGCCAAATTGTTGTTCTTGATATGTGCTCTATTTCCTGAAGATCATGAAATCATCATTGAAGATCTTTTTAGGTATGGGATTGGGTTAGGATTATGCAAAGATGCTGACTCATTTGAAATAGGAAGAAGTCAAGTTATAGCATCTATATATGTTCTCATTGACTCTTCGTTGTTGACGTATTATGTCAACTCTTGGAATGAAAAATGTGTGAAAATGCATGACATGGTTCGTGATGTAGCTTTATGGATAGCACCTAAAGAGCTTGGGACTATTATGGTAAACTGTGCTAAAGAATTTAATGGATTGCATGAAGATGAAGCAGCAAAAGATTGCTATGCAATATCTTCATGGAATAGGAAGAATGAAGTACTTCGATTTCCTTCTCAACTGGACGCTCCAAAGCTTGAGCTTATGTTGATAAATTCAAGCAAACCCATAGATTTATCACGGGCATCATTTGAAGGTGTTAAAGGACTGAAAGTTGTAGCTCTGAACAACAATGGACCATTCTATTTGACAAAATTGCTTCCTCAATCAATACAATGGTTGTCTAATCTTCGAACTTTGCGCTTGCGAGATTGGGATTTAGGTGACATTTCTTTTGTGGTAAGCCTAAAAAGACTTGAAATTCTTGACTTGAAAGGAAGCAGATTCAAAAAATTGCCAAATGGAATTGAAAACCTAATCCATCTAAAACTGCTCGACTTGTCATGGTGTATAGCTGAAGAGTGTTTTTATAAAGCAATAGGAAGGTGTTCACAACTAGAAGAATTGTATGCTTACATAATACACCCTTCAAGATGCACAATTTGTTATGAATGCTTTGTGGGTGTCCCTGCTCTTTCAAAATTGGGAAGGTATACGTTGGAAATGGGGCCACACAACAAGACTATGTTCCAGAATAAAGGCATAAGAGAGATATTCTTTGCAGAGTTAAATATCTCCATCCCAAGTGCAATGATCAAGGATCTTGCACAAAGAGCAATTGCAATTGAATTTTATAAGCTTCAAGGAGGTTGCAAAAGGTTCAGTCCAGATGTGGTTCAAACTGTAGGAGGCATGAATGAGTTAACTAAACTCTGTCTTCAACATTGTTGTGAGATCGAATGCTTTACTGATCAAACTACTCCTCATGAAGACATAGTTGTCCTTAGATTGGTTGAGCTGGTGTTGAAGTATATGGATAATCTAAAACAACTATGTTATGTTCCTTCAAATGTTAGCTTATTCCTAAATCTAGAAAGTCTAAACATAGAAAGTTGCCCTCAATTGGTCAACGTGTTTCCTGGTAAATGTAACTTAGGCAACCTTAAGTACCTCAACATTGTCAACTGTCCGATGTTGACATCCCTCTTCCCTATCTCTGTTGCTTGCACTTTGCTATCGTTAGAACAACTCTCAATAAATGAATGTCATGAATTGAAGCATGTAATTGAGGGAGAGGATGGTATTGTTGACGCATGGGAGGATCCGATGTTCCCAAAATGGGAAATTCTGTCTGTCTGGAATTGTAACCAATTAGAATCTATTTGCCCAAGCTTTTGTGTTCAAGGGTTTACACGATTGAAATCTATATTCATAAAAGATGCTCCTCAGTTGAAATTTGTATTTGGTGAAGCAACTTCAATATGTGATGGAATGGAGACTAGCATAGTGCTTCCACTTTTAGAAAATTTCAGATTGGAAAACCTCCCAAATCTACTCAGAATTTATCCAGAGAGCTATCATCTACTGTGGCCATCTCTAATGAAAGCAGAATGGACAAACTGTCCAAAGATAGAATACTTCATTTGATTCTCTCATTATTGGTTCAGAACTATAAGGCAACCACGTCGAAATATGGTATGCGTTTACTCTTTGATGCTTCCATTTGATTTTCATAATATGTTGAAGAATACAGAGAATTAGTAGTTTTCTAAATATCTTAGTTCATGTAATTTTTTGAGGTATGCATGAAAATAACAAGTAGGGTTATCAAAAGATTGCCTTACTTCAATAATACATCTTTCCGCGCTTCGAATTTTTCATAGATGTATTTGAAAATAAACAATCAAGGAAGTCGATAAATCCCCATCTTATTAATTTTTTTATCTCTTATTATGAGAATTTTATCTTTTTTGGGCATAATTAATTGTTAAAATACATAGTTAGATCACAAGGCTATTTTGAAAATTAAACGGATGCTATACTTTGCTAATAACTATGCATCTTAAATATTTTCTATTTATTTGGACATATGAACCTACCTTTATTGATTTCAATATGCAGGTGATGATATGGGAACATTTATCAAGTGGTAAAGAAGGATGAGGTCGCGCCACTTGGCTTGATGAAGGGCGAAATTGGAATTAACGAGTGCATGTAACTGTAAATTTTATTTTTACTTGAAAAGAGGTGACATAAGTTTGGACTTTAATGGTTTCATGATGGGTTAGATTAAATCTAGGCTTTGAGCCACACAACAGCCATAAGTTTGAATTGGATTATGCAATTTGAGTGTTTTCATATGCTAATATATACTTTTAGTTTGAGTTCTATATTGGAATTAATTCTTAACGTTTGATTGTTGAGTGAGTTAATTGTTTAGAGCTTGCTTGAGAATTGTATTGATGTTTATGTTTGTATTGTAGTTGAGTTCTTTAATGTTGTTTGTTCTAGCATGTTAGTGCAAGATCATTCCATTAAACTGAACTCGTTAAAAGCAAAGAATCACATCTAACCCATCTCTCTATATTTGTCTTTTCAAATATTCATGTTTGTATTACCCTTTTGTCTCGATAAAACAATGAATTTTATTTCCGAAATTACCCTTTTCTCTCAATTATTTTGTCCCTTCACAAACAAATATCTTATACATCAGATTTAAGCGATGGATGTTTTGAGGAAAAAAGAAGAATTCTAAAAGTTACCCCACAATCATACCAGAGCTCGTCCTCAAGCCGCAATGTGCCTGCTGGGGTTTCACCATCCTCAGTTGGTTCAATATATCCTCGCCCAGAGCTAATTTTGATAAATATAATCCCATTATGAGTTCATGAGTAGTGGCTTTGTCATTTTTTTTTCCAAATAACTTTGCATTTTGATCCGGATTTTAGCTGCCATGTAAATCAAGTACTATATATATATATATATATATATAAACACGTACACACACATATATATGTTAAAGTATACTTTCGGTCTTTTAATTTTATACAAAATTTTAATTTAATCTTTTAATTTTTAGTTTTTGAGAATGAAAAGGAAAGACTTGAAAGGAGGAAACAAAAGAGCTAACAGCTACGCTACATCATCTCTGAGACGAGATAAATATTGGTCTGATCGATTAATTTTAAAATATATATTTTTAGTCATTTAACATCAAAATTGTTAATTAAAATAATGATATTAAAATCCTGTGTTAATAAATTATTCTTAGATGTTAATATATTAAGTTCAATTTTTGAAATAATCATAACTGTCACAAAAAATCATTATCTAATGGTAACAATTTTAAGGTTAAAGAACTAAAAATATATTTTTAAAAGTAAAAAAGCCAAACTAAAACATTATATAAAATTGGGTTAATATAATAATTGGCCTTTATAGTTTGCATTTATTTTGCTTTTGGTCTTTATACTTTTAAGTCATCAGTTTTGGTCTTTCAAGTTTTATTCTGTTTATGATGCTTGTCCCTATAGTTTAATAAGGACCTAAACAGTGTTAAGTTTACTAACGTATCACTAACACCGTTTATTCTATTGGCATGTCATGCTGACTAAGCAAAGGTAACTGGATATGTTATTTTAATTATTAAAAAAAGAGCAATCATCCTCTTCTCGCCGTACATCAGCCTCATCATCAGAGTTGCATTAGGCATTTCCTCCGCCAGCTCTAATGGCATCCTCCCCTCGTCTCCTGATTAAAACTCACTCCTTCGACGGTGTCCTCCACCGATCACGTCGTTGGAGAATGCATATAAAAATGAGGTGATTTATTGGTGAAAGAATTGGAATCTAAACTATTAATTAATCAACTCCATTTGCAATTATTATTAAAACAATTTATTACATGATATTCTATGCAACATCAGTAATTTCAAATCAAATTTTAATGAAGACAATATCATTTCGTATAGTTTCCATATTCATTTAAGCAATAATAATAATAGGCCTTATTTTGGGGGTTGACTAAATGGATTGCATAATATTGTCTATCACCAGAAATAAATTTCTTTATTTTTTTAGGCACCTCTCTCTACTGAAATTTGAATATTAGTTTATCATGCGATAGGTAACGGACTACCCCAAAAGCAGAAGATTTATCAGCAAACCGGGCCAACGACATCAATATATAACAATAGATTATCGTATACATCAGCCGAGAGTTGGCATGGCTTTGTTTCAACAGAACAGAGCAAGGTAATGTCCAACTACTCATTTTCATATCGTGGAAGCTTATCTGGTATGAACATGTGTTACCTGTCTTTCTTTCAACTTGGCACTGATCTGATGAAAAAACACAATATATAACAATAGATTTAGTGAAAAGTAAAAAAATTCAATTTGAAATGCTTGTCACTCCTAAAAAGTAAAAGAAATGCGCAACAGAGCAAAACAGAGCAAGGCGATTGTTAACAAACACGAGATTGTCAATAATTTTTAAACATAGCCAAGTATTTGTCAACAAGCCTTCAAGAATATCAAGAACAAGATGTGATTGTCCACAAAAATACATAATTGTAAATATAATGAATTTTAAAACCAGAAAAGATTAAGTTATGAAGACCTTGGCTCTAACAAAATCATTTATTTTTGAAAACCTTTTAGATTTACTCTGTTATAAATTTCTTACCTGCGTTAAAATCTTCAGACCAAATATAATAGACCTTTGTGTACTCTTCAATCATTTGTAGACTGATTTGATTCTTTAGCTTCATTCTTTCAATTAACTATTTATTTTCACCTCTGCAAAACAATCTTCTCTATGATTTCATCTATACTATGCATGATATATTTCAACATGATATACTCCTGCATACAAATTAAAGTTACTAAATTAATGAACTACATCTTTTCACTTGTCCAATGTATTGCAATCTCTTACATCTCTTTCTTTTCATAATCTTTTCAAGGAAGTTAGAATATCTTATTTCGCCCACTTTTCACTCTTGTGTCATATTGACAAACTCAATTATTTTTATATATTTTGATATTTTTTATATGGGTTTTGTCAACTTAATTGGTCCCTTTTAGTCTTAATTGATTGTTAATTGATTTAATATGTTTTATTTTGATTTATTATTTTATAGGGGTAAAATTATCATATTTTGGTTTAATTATGATTAATTGATTTTTAAAGACAATTAATACTACTTTATTCTTAAATTTTGATTGCAGGTTTTTGAAAGATTAAAAAAAAAGAAAATAAATAAATAATAATAAGGGGGGAAGCAAAACACAGCGTTTTGCTCCCACCCTAAAATTTGATATTCATCATCATCATCTTCGTGAGCGAGAGGTGGGTAGTGGCGGAAAAAGAAAAAAAGCAAGGTGAGCAAAATATGACGCGAGGGGTGCTTGGCAGCGACTCGACGGCATTATTTATCTTCCTTCTTGAACCAGAAGACGCGAGGAGAGAGGTAGACGGCGAATTCCTCCTTTCCATCCATCATCATCGACCGCTTTGTTCCTTCTCCTTAGCACGACAGAGCCAGCGATGAGCAGAGGTAGAAACCAGAGAGCTGGATGGCGTTATCCTTCATCAACTCTTCACCATGTTCTCCCAACATGAACAGTGTTCTTCCATGGAATCCTATAGCAAAGTTCTGAACATGGCAGCATTTTTCATGGCTAATTGTGGCTATAATTTCATGATTATCTAATTCAACAACAATGACACGTGCTCGGATGAGTTTTAGTTACTTTAATTTTCTATCCAATAATTGTTTAACAATTCCTAGGTCTTAGGATAGTTATTCTGATTATTGAAAATTTTGTATTGTTTAATCTGATTATATTTGGAGATTATTGTGGCTGGATTATTGTTTAGCATTTGATATTAGGTTGTTATAGCTCTAATTTCAATTATAATGTTGTGGTTATGACATTTGCATTGATTTTGAAATTAATATATTGTGATTTTTTGAGGTCTTTAATTCTGTTGTTTTGGATTTAAAAGTTTTAATTAAGTATTAGTTTTTGGCATCCTTAATTCTATTTTACTATTCTGGTTGCAGTTAGTAATTTAGAATTTTGAAAAATATTTTGTGACAATTCAAGGTGGCTCGGTTGCTGGATTAAAAGCTTAATTAGAATTTTTAATTTATTGTTTTAATTCCCGTATCTTTTGGAGTGAGGATTGCCTATGTTGTTGAATTAGAAGATTGATTATTATCATTGTTATTAGTGTGTTTTATTTTTACTTCTTTCATCGCCATTCATTTTAATCATTTTTATATAAAAATAAAAATATTTTAATTTCAATTTGATTCATAGTATTTAATTAGCAATTCATCAAAATCAAAAATCCTTTTTATAGTTTAAGTTACTTGCATTCATTTACTAGAATTTTTTTTCCTGGCTCCTCAAAGTGAATACGATTCGGATTGTGCACTATATTACATTATTTCAGTTAATTTTTGGAGTAACCCCAAAGCGACAAATTAAGGGTATTATTTCAAGTGGCGCCCTTGCCGGGAAGCCAAGAAATTGGTTCCCTAGTAATAAGTGTCAAGTAACCTTAATTGGGGTTCATTTGTTGAGCCTTTTTAGTTTTCATTTTGTCAGTTTTTTTTTTGCATTTTTTTAGTAGTTTGCATTTGTTTCTTTTGATTTTTCATAGCATTTCTTTCATTTGCATAAAAAAAATTTCAAAAATACAACTAAATGTCTTGATTTTTCATTCATTTGCATTTTAGTTGGTATTGCATAGTTTTAGCATTTAGCATCATATAATTGCATTGAAAACTTAAAAAAAAAAAAGAAGAGAAGAGAAGCATATAGGTTCTTTCATTCATTGCACTTTTCATTTTCATTTTCATTTTACCTCTTGCATTTTCATTCTCATACATATACACTTGCATTGCACTACATTCATCTGTTTTTTTTTTCTTAATTGCTTCTAGTTGGTTGATTGTTTATACCAAGAAGGGGTAGGTCTAAAACTCTAGTTCCTTCCAATCCTGAGCTTCAAAGTTTTTTAAGGGAAGTTAGACAAGATCAAAGGGTAGAAATGACTAGTAAGGTTGAACTAGACAATTTAACCAGTCTAGATTTGGTGATTGACTTAGGTGACATAATGGAAACTATTAATAATTCTAACGATAACAACAATGGTGGTAATGACAAAAGGGGCAATGGACCTAATGGTGAACATGATAGAGTAGGAGAGAATAATGGAGGTAACCCTAGAAGAAGAACCATTAGGGAAGCCACTACTTTTGATGCAAATTATGATCCTTTTAATGTTGCATGCCTAATATTGATGTCGATTTTGAGATTAAAGGTCTACTGCTTAATTATTTGCCTTAATTCTATGGTTTGACAGGTGAGGACTCGTAGAATCATCTGAAATCTCTCTCTATGGTATGTTCTAGCATGAAGCTGATCGGGGCTAGTTTGGATGAGATTCTTTGGATGGTATTCCACTTGTCTTTGGAGGACAAAGCGCAAGAATGGTACATGGCTTGCCTAGACATATGGCAGATGCCTACCATAACTGGAACAACCTTAGAAAAGCATTCTTGGATAAGTATTTCTCTACTGCCCGGACTTCCACATTGAGAACAGAGATCTACTCTGCAAAGCAAGACTATGATGAGTCACTTTATGATTACTAGAACCGTTTTCAAGACTTGCTTTCTAGATGTCCACACTATCAAATTCCAGATGAGCAGTTAGTCTAATACTTTTATGATGGACTTAAGATCCAAGACAAGGGGATGTTGGATGCTGCTTCTGGAGTTCTCTCATTGATTTAACTGCTGAGGAGGCATGGGAACTTATCAAGAAAATGGCCTTGAACCATCAACAGTATAACATCAGGGAGTCTAAAAATATCACTACAATGCATACTAATCCTTCTTCAATCCACATTCCTCAATTGGACACATTAACTTCTTAAATTGCTACTTTGACTACATAGTTGAATAAGCTTGCATCTCACACTCCCTCTGTTAACACTTGGAATCCTAATTCTATGGAGATGACTGCACCTAGTTGTGAGCATTGTAACTCTGTTATACACATCTCTGCTACTTGCCCTCATAGATATGAGGAAGTTTCCGCCATATATCAAGGAAGGGCCAATCAATCTAAGCAATGAAACCCATACTCAAATACATATAGTGAAGGGTGAAAAGCTCATCCAAATTTTTGATGGGGAGGAGGTGATAATAGGCAAGTTCAAGAAGGGTTTCAAGGGAATATGGTTCCTCAAGGGCAATCTTACTATGGAGGGTTACAAGGAGAATCCTCTAGAGTCATGTCTACTCCACAGCAACCACAGTCTAAGGATGATAAGCAGTTCTCTCGAATACTCAAGGGCTTCAAGGCAATGACTGAGCATATATCTAAGTCTGAAGCTAAATATGAAGCTAGATTTGCAGCCCTAGAAAATAGGATAGAGCAGTGGGAAACCAGAACCTGTAATTTGACTTCTTATGTTACTAAGTTGTTAAACGGTATGAGTGAACAGCAAGCTAAGGCTAGTGGTTCAATGTTTTCCAACACGGTAATAAATCTTAAATCTTTGAATGCGATCACGTTGAGAAGCGGTAAGGAAATTGGTGCTAAGAAAGTGCAATCCAAAGAAGATGAAGAGGATGAAGAACTGGTTGACGAAGAGATAGAAGTTGAGTCTCCTCCTTATAAAATCACTCAAGACATTCTCAAGGCCACTCAAGAGACCTCCATTTAATCCAAAGGGCCAATAGAAAGAAGATCACCTTCCAAAGGTGATGAGGTAAATATTTATGACTTGCCTTTTCCTCATTCCTATCTCATGAGTAAGAAAGTAATTGAAAAGTAAGATAACGAAGAGTTTTTTGAAATGTTTAGCAAACTTGAGGGTAATGTGCCACTACTTGATTTGATTAAAAAGATGCCTAAATGTGCTAAGTTTCTGAAAGACCTTTGTACAAACAAGAGGAAGTATAGGCATAGTGAGAGAATCCAACTGGGATCTAGTGTTAGTGCTATCTTCAAGCCACAACTACCTATTAAATGTAAAGACTCGGGTTCCTATACTATTCCCTGTACCATAGGCAAAACCAACATTTCACATGTCTTACTAGACTTAGGTGCAGCCATAAATATTATGCCTACCTCTATTTATGAGAGTTTGGGTATTCATGTCTTAAAAGACACTAGTGTTATACTAGGTCTAGTTGATAGGACTGTGAGACACTCTAGGGGCTTTCTTGAGGATGTTCTTGTGCAAGTGAAGGGTCTTGTGTTCCCAGCTGACTTCTATGTGCTAGATATGACTAATGAGATTAAAGCTGATAGCACTTTGATGCTAGGAAGACCTTTTCTTAGAATAGCCCAAACCATAATTAATGTGAAAGATGGGGTCATTACCATGGGCTTTGAGGACCAACAGATTACCTTCAACATTTTTGATACTACGAGTCAAGGTTATGCAGATTGCTCTTACTTGGGTGTTAATTTGATTGATTGTGCTATGAATGATGTTGATGATTTGCGTGAATCTTTAATGCATGAACATGACTGATATGATGATATTGTTGAGCATGATGATGCATTTACTTGTTTATCTACCCCTTATTCTTTTTTTTTTTTTGCTCATGTTATGGTAACGTGGTATGTGTTAACTATTTAGAAGTTGATCACCTCCTTTCCATCTCTCATGATTTTGATGCATCATCTTGTCTTAATCGTGATTATACTTTCAACATTACACTTGATGATAGCCTTGAGAAAGGTGAGCTAGTTGATTTTGCAGGTACTAATGATAAAGGAGCTGTTACATAAGCTACACCGGTAGCTTCTCCTTTGAGTGGTGCTGGAACATTAGAAAAGACTAGCAACAAGCTTGCTACTGACTTAGTCACTTCTAATCCCACTCTTCCTTGTAATTTATTCAATGTTTCTATTGATAAAATTGATATCGATCCTCTTTTTTGCAGGTTATCTAAGAATGGTACTGAGTTGGGAAGTGGAGGACATACACATCATGATGAGCTCATATCTCCTTCCCCAAGCCACATGGATGTGCCGCTTGTATTAAATGCACTTGACATAAAATAATTAGTTCCTTCTGTTGTGCAACTTCCTAATTTAGAATTGAAACCCCTCCCCCTAATTTGAAATATGTCTTTCTTGTTGCTAATTCTAAATTATGTGTTATTACTTCCAGTTCTTTAAGTAGTTCTGAAGAAGAAAGACTGATTTCTGTGTTAGTCATAAAGGGACTATAGGATGGTCTTTAGGGGACATTCCAGGGATTAATCCCTTAGTTTGCACACATAAGATCCTTTTAAATGAAGGGTCCAAGCCAGTTAGGCAACCACAGAAGAGACTGAATCATCTCATTTTGGATGTGGTTAAGATGGAAGTATCTTAGTTACTGAGTGCTGGGATCATCTATCCTATGTCAGATAGCGAACGGGTCAGTCCGGTACAAGTAATATCAAAGAAGAGCGGTATCATAGTAGTAAGAAATGAAAATGAATTGATTCCAACTAGGGTTCAAAATGCTTGGAAAGTATGTATAGATTATAGGAAGTTGAATGATGCCACGAGAAAGGACCACTTTCCTTTACCTTTTATAGACTAGATGTTGGAGAGAATTTCAGGGAAATCTCACTCTTATTTTCTAAACATTTTTTCTGGCTATTTTCAAGTGCCCATTGCTCCTGAAGATCAGGACAAAACTAC